GGGAAACCCGAGGAGGAAAAGTCAAGGATATTTACAAGTGTTGTGGCCGCACCTGCGATCTCCCAGGCAAGTCCCCGCTCTGCCGTGGGAAGTTTTTTCGCTGTCAGGGCATCTGGTACTTTTATCAATGGGTTCCAGCAACACGTGTTGGTGATGAGCAAATGCTGCATCATGCACGATATCACTCCGAGGCATCAGTAGTAAAATGACACTTGAGTTGGTCTATTGAACGCATCGTTTGAGAGATATATTTCAACCTATTGTTACTTGTTCGAAGCTACTTTTATAAAAATTTACTTGTTTGAAGCCACTCTAAACATCTTGTTATATGTTTGAAGCTGACTATATTCTTAAATTGAAATGCATTGACCTACCTTAAAAAATTCTAATATATCAAAAACATCAACCTGCTTGCAACCTTGAAAGTTACTTGGCTATTTGCATTCTAGCGTAAGATTTCACTGTCGATTTTCTTGACCTAGTATTGGGCTATCAGCATTTCATATCTAAAAATTCAATTGATGTCTTATGAATTTAAATTCAATTGATGATACCTACGCAGCCTTTAATTTGAATATTGATTGCTATGGAGACACTGAAGTTGAAAGTATATTCATGATTACGATAATTCGGGTGGTTAGTCATCCTACTTAAATTATTCATAATCATTAAGCGAGTGGCACGTATGAGGCTTTTCCTTAAGTTTGATAATTCATTTCAGCTTCTTTCTTAGCTATAAATGGACAGTAAATTTTTCTAATGTAATTGTACTTGAATCAGTAAATGACTTCTATATTGCGACACTTATTATTGATCCGAAGTTTATTTATATAACTGTGCACCTATTAACATTGTCTCCTGAATAGAATTTTAGAATTCTATTTAGAGATGCATTATTGATAGATATTTAAGATAAACTAAACCGTAGGGTGTTTGTTACAGGAGTCACTAAATTATAGCCCACGGTCTAGAGATAATACGCGACGTCAAGCCTAGCTGCGGAGGTGGCCTGCCGGAGACCACCAGTGCCCAGCTCCCTATGTACTAGCGTGATTCCTTCTTTCAATGACGTAGCTTCCTATAATTCTGGTCTAGAATTTTAGCAGCCGAATGCCTCCAAAGTGGTTACAGGTCAAGTTTAGCCCAGAGGCTAAAGTTCAGAGTATCAGCGTATCATCAATACACCGCTACGTACACGTAAATACTGCAAAGTAGACGTAACTTCAAACAGTGGTATTATCAAATTATTTTGCGCAAAGCTACGTACAAGAAGTACGTAACTTTACGAAAACTCGGAGGTTGTGTAAAAGGAGTTACGCATAACTTTTGAGTGGGTGAAGCGATTGATAATTGTTTAGTTACTAACGAGTAATGAAACGGTGAATTTTGAAATTTTTTAACATAACATAACGTAACAAAGAGTCGGCGCTGAAGAGTAGGCCTGATGTGGCCTTTCACCGATTTTTACCTTTCGTGACTTGTTCACAGAAGATCTAAAATCATGTCATTTGACCGGATCTTTTCAGGATTGACGATAGTTTGAAATAGCCACTTGACTCCACTGGGTTCGGTATGGTGCTATAGGCATTTCAAGTATGAACATATATATTTTTCCATTGCTTTATCTAGTCTGCTTTTGAACGCGTTTATACTCGGAGCGCCAACGATGTAATCAGGGAGGCTGTTCCACATGTCGGTGATTTGAAGCGAGAAGAAATGTTGTCGCGTGGATAAGTTGCAGCGCAGTTTTTTTTAGTTTATAGCCGTGGCCCCTGGTGTTGGTTCTTGTTTCAAATTCTAGTAATTCTTCGGGGGACTTTGTAGACACAATGAGTATGATTGTATACTTCAATAAGGTCCCCACGCAGACGTCGATAACTCGGCCTTGGAAGCTTCATAATCTTTAATCTTTCTTCATAGGACTTGCCTTCAAGCTTGGAATTATCCCTGTTGCACGTCTTTGAACATTCTCTTTTAAATTTTTGTCCTTTTCAAATTTCCAAACTCTAGATTCAGACGCACGACAGCAACAAACAACTGCTTCGTTGCTTCTGCGTCTAGGAACTCGTATGAGCGTCTAATTAGTCCAAGAAGTTTGTTGAATGTATTAGCTTGCGTTTCAACATCCTTAGAAAATTTCAGCTCCTTGTCGACACAAACTCCGAGATCTTTTTCCACACTAGACTTTTCAATCATTACTCTCTCGTTGCAACCATGTCTTCTCATACTGTAATCTTGCTGTTCATTGTTCTTCTCGAGGTGAGTTAAGTTACACTTGTCAGCATTAAACCGCAACTGCCACGTATCAGCCCAGTTAACTAAACTGTCAGGATCATCTTGCAGTTGCGCTTTATTTGACGCATCCTTCACTGAATTATAAACTTTTGTGTCGTCGGCATACACGGAGCACACGCTGGACACTACTTCTGGCAGATCGTTTATAAAAGCAACGAACAAAACACGGCCCAAGAACGGGTTCTTGTGGCACGCCACTGCGCACTGATTCCCAGTCTGAAAGGGTTCTGTTAATGCTGACACAAAAGTTTATAATTCAGTGAAGGATGCGCATCCTTCACTGAATTATGAACTTTTGTGTCGTCGGCATACACGGAGCACATGCTGGACACTACTTCTGGCAGATCGTTTATAAAAGTAACAAACAAAACACGGCCCAAGAACGGTTCCTTGTGGCACGCCACTGCGCACTGATTCCCAGTCTGACACGGTTCTGTTAATGCTGACACGTTGTCGTCAACCTACTATGAAATCTCTGATCCATTGGTGTACGTTTCCCTAAATTCACAAAGACTTCACATTACGCAACAGCCGCTCATGCGGAACACTTCCAAATGCTTGGCAAAATCGAGGTACAATGCATCCACTGGATCCCTTCCGTCCAGCAGGCGAGTCCAGTCGTTCAACGTAGACAATAAGTTAGTGGTGCAGGATCTATACCGGCAATAAAATCATGTTGACAATCATAGGAGATGGTGAACAGTCAAGTGATCGATAATCCTATCCCTCACAACAGATTCAATTAGCTCGCAAACAACACTTTTCAGACTGACAGTGCTATAATTACCGAGGCTGCTTTTGTCACCTTTTCCGAACAATGGTGTTACTTGAGCTTCTTTCCAATCGGACGGCAAAGTTCCTTCGTTCGAAGGTTTTTTGAAAGAATACTGTCAATGGGCCGGCCAGAACGGTTGCTGATTCTTTGCGAGCAATCTGGGATGGAAGCCGTCTGGTTTACATGACTTGTTGGGATTTAGAGCTACCAGGCGCTTGAGAACCTCTTCTTCGTGTATTTCAAAACCTGTTAACTTCGAGCCGGTTGGGCGCTCTTCAATATCTGGAATATTGTTCAAGTCCTCATCTGTGAACACACTACTGAAGAGCTGATTAGGAACGTTAGCCTTGCCCTCATCAGAGGAAAGCTTTCGTTGGTCTACTTTCAAATCAGACATACCGTCTTTTGCCTTACACTTCTATCTAGTGTACAAAAAGAAGGCTTTTGGATTATTTTTTGCATTTTTAGCAATATTTTTTCGAAGTTTTTCACTTCGGTGCGACAGACTTTTTTAGCTTGATTTCGAGCTCTTGCATACCGGTTATAATCAGAATTGCTGCGAGTTCGCAAATAACGCTTATAGGCTTCTTTTCTTGGTCTTTAGCTGAGCATTAACTGTACTGTTCATCTACTGGGACTTCTTGACTCCTCCAAGCGTCATCTAAGGTACACAGGCATCAACTGCAGAAATGACCGTGGCATTCAGAAATGACCATGAATCAGCCACATTCACGTCCTTAATACCGTCCGAAATATTCGCCGCATTCACCGCTTCACGGAGTGCAACATAGTCGCCTTTCGCAAAGTTCAAACGTTCACGCTTCCAAAACGTCTTATCTGCTTATCTTTTGGTTTATACTTAAACAAATAATATAAATTGGTTCAATTAGAGAACAAATTTTAGTCATATATATTCGAGGAGCTAATTGGTTCACCATTGGCGATAGAAATTACGAGCACTTGTTAATCACTATATCCTAGAGTTTTATAACCATTCACCAAACTCATATCCATATGAATCCTCTGTACAATATTATTAAGAGCTTGGCTCTGCTTGCTTAGTCTACCTTTGTTCTTAATTTTAGCTTTCTTTCTGCCTCTGAAACTCTCACACCCTCAATCTCCAATTTATACAAGTATTTAGACTCTATTATCATTACAAGGCAAATCCTCTAATTTTTATTTCGAAAAATATTCATTTTCAATTTCTAAATAATTATATTAGTCATGCATCTTATGCAGTTTCCCTCCGCACATGTCCTAACAAAAACGATTTTAATTGGTTGAGCTAAACAGTGATTAACTGTAACACGCATTCACAACAGTTTTACTCTTGTTGTTCATTATCATATTGATCAATAAATACTTGTGTTGCTATCAAGAAACGGCATTTTTCAGTGAAATTTTAGAGTAAAGGCATCTAGGATTCTTGAAAGAAACTAGAAATGTTCAAATAACTGGCGCACAGAGTGAGCTCTTAGCTCTGTGCGCCAGTTTCTGGTCAGAATCGGCACGGAGACCGGGCGGTTAAGCACAGCAGAATTGCAGCAGTGAGCTGCGTGTTCTCGATCGCAACTAGCTAAGACGGATGTTTGTTGTAACGATGGATTATCTGATAAAAAAATCTTTAACTCGTTTTTGCCTTTTTCGACACTGAACTTTCGATCTGTAGGTCTTGAAAAAATTATTTTACTCGCATTCTACGGCGTTTCATGTACTCATCATACTGGAGAAATAGTTTGAACACCTGCCCTCTAATGTGCCATAGCCTGTTATTACTAAAAAGATTCTCAGTAGAAAATGATTGTCCAAATAAAAAAATAATTGTTATCGTGAGCATATATTCTGGAAATCAATTTTTATTTTTCAAGAAGGGGTTCAAATAACAATAGACCGAAAGATGCCTTATTCATTCCGTGTCTCTATGCCTCATGCCCTCGTCACGCGCCAGCCATGTCGCACTCTGCGGGTGGTCACATGGTGTGTAGTTACCTGCAGCTCAGCGGCTGCGAGAACTTCAAGGGCATGGCGTTGACAAGCCCCGTGGATGGGGTTGACCCTTTTGGTGTAGTCGACGATTACTGCACCTCGCTGGACTCTACCCTTAATTTCTCCATACCCACCATCGTCATGGCTGCGGGGCTCGATGATGTGCCGGGTGAGATGGTGGCAGTCAATATTAATCTTATGTCCTATTATGCCGCTTTTGTGGTCGCCTGCTATTAATCTCATGTATGACGTTCCCTCAAATTTCGTTTGAATCAGACGCCGCAATAAATGCATCATAGAATAATAATTATATGTAAAAGTGTATGAATGCAGACATCAACTGAATACTATAGTGTATGGTCCAGAGTACGTCATTCAATGATTGAATCATGCACGATACGTTTCCATTTACCTCAATCACATAATACGAGTATATTCTTCTGTGGGGTAGACTCCTACGTCTCGGAATAATTTTCTCGACATGAACCGGGACAACCGGTACGAGACGTGAAATCTTCAGGAAAAAATAACGGGACAGAGGATAAAATTTGTCCCGAAATAAGCGTATGAACCGGGACAATACTTGTATCATGGACTTTATTAAAACTTAGGTCCCGGTGATTCTAAAACGAAACGAGGCAGAAGAAATAAAACGAGACGTGACACAGCGAGACGAGACCTGTACTAAAATTCAAGGCAAAACAATATATTACTTAGAATACGGAAACAAAACGAACCATTCTGAACGAACAGTTAAAGAATACAAAGTTAACTCTTGAGTGTTGATAGGCAGTTGCCAGCCATGGGCAGATTTGGTGATATTTGACTGCCAAACTGATTGGGCTGCTAATTTAGTGGGCAGAATTGATGATGTTTGGCTGAATATTTAGTGAATTATGTTGTTGTTGATCTTTTAATCGCGCATGACGAGAAACATACAAGTTCATTACGCTTAAGGGAGCGTCTCCATAAAAAACTTTTTTTTACTCACGGACGGATCACATTGAAACTTGGTGCACATTTGAAAATCAGTAATATATGACTTTTTTTACGTGTAAATTTTCGAAAAAATGGCAGAAAACGTGGAATTCATAAAAACGAAAAAAGGGATTTTTATCAAAATCTCCTCATTCAATTAACGTGCTACAACATCGAGATAAATGTCTTTCGAGTTGTAAAAATCATATCTAGTGATTCGTCTTAGCTTTTAAAAATTCTTATTTTTGTCCTGATTCAATTTTTGCCCCACCTTCTCCCCTTTTTGCAAAATATAATGCAAACTATAACGAAATTACAAAAAAAGTTAAAACCATTCTCTAGATCTTTTTTGCAAATCGAATGGTATATCTCTCAATGCTGTAGCTTGAAAATCATAGGAGGAGGTAGATTTTTAAGATGACCCATTTCAAAAATGTTAATTGTTCAGGAGATCCAAATAAGTAAAATTTCAAAAAGGGCTCAAGAAAGAAACAAGTTTTTCTCTTTATTTTAACTTTTGAGCATTATAATCCAATCATAGAATAGAATTATTTTTAGTTATATTTTTTGCTTGTTTTTTTTTCTGTTGAAGATCCTAAATATTATTTGGTACTCCATATCCCCAAACGCTTTTATTTGATTTTATTCTGGTATTAGGGCCATCGGGTTTGCCGATATGCCTTTACGTATCCATGCGAAAGAGGTCAAAATTCCTTCCTGGTTAAATACTTAGGGTCCAAATGGTCGCCTGAGGTTGCAGATATTTGTATGCACTCGCTTGAGTTATGTCTTCTCGACAAGATACCGGGACTCATTCTGTACGAAAGATACAAAGACGACATCCGTATCCTAAGTGAAGCAAGTAAAATGAATTTCACTCATTCCTCGAGCAACTTAATTCAATTCATGAGTCAATCCAATATCCCATTAAAGAGAGCAGCATAGGGCTAAGACCTCCAAATTAGTGGGGAAAAATGTTTTGCGGAATTATAAGATAAAATCATTGTGTTTGTTTAGTGGATAAGTGAGCTTGTCTTTTCTTTTCTGATTCGATCAAAATATATGTTATTTATTATTGTTTTCATTTATAGAGCGATGACACCATTTCGTTTTACTCGTCAGTCTCTCATGGATTTTTCTTTTTTCAAAGTAAGATTTTTCTTATAAGAAGTTTATCAATATTTTTAGGTCTTCGTTTTCTGAGTTTGATTCTTCTAACCTTGATTTAATTAGGAATTCTTCCAGGTTTTCGTTTCTTTTGGAGAAGATTGTAGGCGGGGAAGGGAAGATAGGTTTAAGTTCAAAATATTCATTCATTGTCAATTTTTGTTCAATGCGTTCCTCAGCTTATGGTTTGATATTACAGGGTGGTACTTCATTTTAAAGAAGAGCGAATGTTCCAGTTTTTTTTTACTTTTTCCTTTTTTTAGAACTTCCTTTAGTGGTTCCAGAAATTGTTATTTGCCATATCCTTGTTTTATAAGATGTTTATGAAACGGTAATACATTTTTTTAAGTGTGGGACATTGTTACAGTTTCGTTTATGTCGCAAGATGTTCCCCTTTAATAAAGCCTCTTAAACAGAAGCTAGGGTGGGCGCTAGAGGCGTTTAATTATATATTGGAATGTTTCAACCCGTTTTAAATAGGTTATTGTGTCCACTGTGACATTCTTCTCAAAGTTTTCATCTTTATATATCGTGAGATGAAAGAAATTAAGCTCCAGGCTGCTCGTCTCTATGGTGAATTTGATTTACTTGTGCATTGAATTCAGTTGCTAGAGGAATGAGTGAAATTTATATTCACTTGCTCCACTTAGAATGAGGATGTCGTCTCTGTATCTTTTGTACAGAACGAGTCCTGGTATCCTGTCGAGAAAACATCACTCAAGCGAATGCATAAAAACATCTGCAACCTCAGGCGAGCATTTGGACCCTAAGTATTTAACCTGCAAGGTATTTTGACCTCTTTCGCAAGGACACTGTTAAAACATAACGTAAAGGCATCTCGGCAAACCCGATGGCCCCAATACTGGAATAAAATCAAATAAAAGCATTTGGATCAAACGTTAGGGTCAATCAAATAAAATCAAAAATAAACTAATCAAATGGTTAGTTTTCAGACCACTTGTAAGCAAGTAATGAGCGTTGCGGCGATTGACGACTGGTTAGACGACATGGTTTAATCTTACTGGCGAACGCTACTGCTGCCACGTTTTTTTAAGTAAAAGCTATCTTCCTTCCTGTTTGACATAATTGTTAAGAAAATTTCGAATTTCCTCGGGTGAGGGTCAGAGATGATTTGATACAAGAACTCTCCATTGGAGTTCGCAGTAGTTTCTGCAATAAAATCGAAGATGCAGACCTTAAAATTTGAACGTGAGTACACGAAGAGCTATTTTAAATTTCACAATAATCGATAAAATCTGGCAAAATACAAAAGAATAAGGCTCTTACCGAATCATCGGAAATACTAGGTTGCTTTTAAATTAGGTAATCAATGAATTCCAGGTCGTTGTGCTGTGCTACGAAACAATGTACAACAAACTATGCGAAGTATTACTGCAGATATGCGTGCGTCACACCCCAGAAAAAACGACCCCCAAACGCCACATAATTCCGAGGGACAGACGGATCCTTATGAGAAACGAGCGAGCTTGAACAACCAGGTAACGGCTGCCTCCGGAAATATAGAGAGGCAGAGGCTGGAACATCTAAAGGTTAAAGTTAAGGGGACCGACCTAGCTAAAATTTTCAATTTTGACGTTTTTCGGTTTTTGTGCTCATCTGAAAGCTGGAATTCTGCTCTTTCCAATGGTACCACTGCCATCGCTGAACGCCAATATTTACGTTAATGACGTCTCTTTAAAGGGAAGCGGGTGGGAGAGTTCTTTAAGAAATTAGATATAAATTAATTAGCTGCTGAAATCTTTGAATATAGTTTCTACTTGAGTTGTGCTGCAGTTACATGCTTAGTCCTGTCTCTTATACACATCTAGATGTGTATAAGAGACAGTACTGCCATCTATATACGGCAATATTGACGCAGATGGCCCGCCTTTATTTGGGGGCGGGGGGTGGAGTTCCTTCAGTAAATAGACCAGAGAAAATTACAGCGGCAAGACTACATATCTTGGTGTATCTGGCATCTGAGCTCAGTTACCTTCCTAACATTGTACGTGGAGGTGCGCTACAAGTTGCTGCTTGCATCCTTGAGTGGACTAAGCTACAGAAGCCTGTAGTTTGGTATCCATGCTACATTGAGTGCCTATTTCGAGGCGCGCGAGACTTTGTCGCGCCGTCCTGAAAAGTTCAACTTATGCAACTTATTGTCACGGAAAACCTATCTCCTCCTACAGTTTTCAAGCTACAGNAGGTAGACGACAGATGGGGTGGATCTGGCGGACGTTCAGAACGAGAGAAGCGGAACCGATGATCACACTCTTCAGAGCCCTTGTAATACCTATCCATTAATACTGCTGCCAGCTCTGGACTCCGTTCACACTATGCGCAATACGGCAAATGGAAGGAGTCCAACGAACCTTTACTTCCAGGATCAGAGGGATGGAGAATTTTAACTACTGGGAGAGGTTACAGCGACTGAATCTGTACTCACTGCAGAGGAGACGGGAGAGGTATGTCATTCTGAACACATGGAAAATGATAACCGGAATGGTGCCAAACTTCGAGAGCGAGACCTTCAGGATTCAGACATATCACAACGAGAGAAGGGGGAGACTGTGCAAGATCCCTCCCCTGCGTAACAGATCCGCAGTCAGATTTCAATCCCTGCGGGAAGGATCGCTTTCCGTGGGAGGGCCAAGGCTGTTCAACGCCCTACCAAGGGATCTAAGAGAGGGGGAGTCCACCCTGGAGACCTTCAAGAGACAACTAGACGTGTTCCTGAGCACAATCCTAGATCGACCTCCCCTGCAACACTACCAGGAGAAGCAAGCAACAGGCAACGTGCATCAGGTGGCCCAAATGAGGGCGGATGAACGATAATCAGAGGCGGCGATCCATCGTTGCCTGGGACTGCTATGTCCCAAACAAATACTAAGGATACTAAGGATACTACAGCACCGCGACCTGCGAACTTGATATAAACCTAGCCGTCAACATTTCTCAACGAGGATTAAGGGTCTGAACCGTTCGGTAATGAGACACCTCAAGTAACGAGCTTTGCGACAATTAACGACTGGCCAGAGATGGTTTCACTTCAACGTGAACGCTATTATACAATGCTCCCATGCTCTTTTAAAAGTAAAAATTATCTTCCTTCCCGTTAGATAAAATTATTTTTCAACCCCGTTGCTCAGTAAATGTTTTTAGCTCCTCTTGTCATGTGTCCACATTGTTTTTTTTTTTTTGGTTAAAGGGAGCAACTTGACAAGCACAACATGCGCGCCGGCAGACATGAGCAACATGCGCTTCTACAGAGCACTCGATCCCGACAGCCCCCGCTGGTTCCTCAATGCCACCGAGTTTGGCCACTTCGACTACTGCAACCTTCTCTTCCAGGTAGGGTGATGTGTGCAACCTACTCTTCCAGGTAGAGGGACGTATGCAACCTACTCTTCCAGGTAGGGTGATGTATGCAACCTACTCTTCCAGGTAGGATGAAGTGTGCAGCCTATTAGATATATTCCAGATAGGGTACAGTGTGCAACCTGCTCGGTGTGGAAAGATATCTGCATCCTACTCTTCGAGGGGGGTGATCTTCGAGTAAGTTGCAAATCACGGTTGAGATTTAATCACATTTCATTCGTAGGGTTTTCCCTCGCCTTCACCGCCGATCTGCGTTTCATGGGAAAGTATTTGATGCCGACGGGTTAGTTTCAATATAATTTTCGGCTAACGCATTACAGAAAACATTCGTGGCCATTGAGAACTGAAGGTTGAGAGCCAATCTACCAATCCCATGCAGCAAAAGATACACTGGCGTAATTTAGTCAATTTCTAACGTTTTGGCATAGCATTGTCTACAAACTCTAAGATCATTCGAGTAGATCATTCGAGTAGTCTAAAGATCATTCGAGTAGTATTATTTAAATTTAACATTCTGTTCTTTTTATCATACGAAGTAGTTTAGACGATTTATTGTACGAAAAGAAGTTCATTAACGTGAATGTAATCAAACTTGAAATTCATAGATGCTAAAGTGTTGTGTTACGGACCATTTCGTGCTTTACAACGCAACCTATTGTCTGTGGCAGGATTAATTGAATATGCGTGCATCCAGTGTTCATTTTCGCTTTATATTCCCAGAATTCACGGTTCCTGGAAAGAAACCGGTACAAATACAAAAAATTATTCAAAGTAAAAAGGTTATTAAATTTAAAAACAATATTCGAAAATATTCAAGTAATTGCAAAGGATTTCTATAAACAGCAAAGAAATGTTCGAACATGAAAACTAGGCTCACCAAAATACGTTCAGATCTTAGTTTGGTCTTTACTCCGCTGCGGACAGATGACGAATGAACGAAAAAGTTTCTCAAGGCCACAGAATTAAGATGGTATCCTATAAGGTAACTTGCATTCACAACATGTTGCAATTGTGCAAGTTAAGATAAACAACGAAACGCTGAACTACACGCACGACGAGAGCTACGGCGCTGAAAATTTATGGTATCACTATATTTCTTCGAGAAAAAGAGACCTTTCCGCGAGTCGAGGATCAAAGTGCAAAAAAAATTGTGTGGGTAGCTTAGGGAAGAGACCTTAGACTTGATATAAATCTAGCTCTCTGATCCTGAACACATAATTTTTGCACCTACAGAAATTGTGATAGTGTAAGCGGGTTCCCGTTGCTAACATTTCATCTGCCTGTTAATTTTCGGGTTTTAGTTAGTTGTCACTTTTATTTCCATGTTGTTGTACATATATTTTGTATACCATGTTCTTCATTATCTCAAACGTTTTCGACTGGCGATAATTTATTTTCTACTTTGCATTTTTTGTCCCCTGCTCTCTCACTATCTTTCTAGTGTTCTACTGTCGGTTCTCTTTTCTTTTGATCCACATGCAACACTATTTCCTGCTATATGATAATAACCTCACTCCCAGACCTCACATGGCTGCCCGTCTTGCGCAGGAAGCGGCTGCGGTATCGCACTTCTGCGCCACCAACCGGGAGGCTGGCCTCCTTGAGTTCAGCAAGTACCGCAGCTTCGTGCCCGGCACCGCCGTCGCTTTCTTCTTCAGTAAGTCTTCTTCAATAAAACTTGCAATAATATTTCGTACCTTCTCAATAATATAATCATTCACATAAATTGAAGTGCAAAACGTTGCAGGTAGTAACTATTTTATGCAAATCGTTCCGATGCCTCGCTGTTTACACTCTGCTCTCGTATTGCTTGCCTAATGCCTGAAATTTATGATGGTGAAATTATTCCAGTGTTTTGGTTACTCGATCATGCAACTCGCCTACTAATTAAAACGTTTAGAACATCACAATATTAACAAAGTTATACGGGTTACTATGATTGTCACAAAAAAGCGAATACTATATTTGTATATTTCATTATTATACCTCAGGTCTCCTGGAGGATGACTGCCAGACGTATCTGCCGTACCTGCAAGACACGTCCGCAATGCCTGTCGCGGTCGTGGGAGAATACGTCAACCAGGAGGAGGCCACGGGCCGGTGTCCAAGGGGTTACTGCTCCAGAGTCCCATCTGTGGATCAGAACTAAGGACATCATCATGCAAATAAAGCAATGATTCTGAGGAAAATGAGACATCAGTCATAAATACGCAGCAAAGCAAGACAACATCACGAAAGCAATGAATAAAATTGAACAATATGAGGCACCAATTATACTTGAAAATCCAAAATAGAAGAGCAGAGTTTTCTATAATGCATTCCTTCGCCTATCTTTACTATATTTTCGTTAAAATTAAATCCACGCGTAAAGGAGTAACAGTCTGAAATTCTGAATAATAATAACAATTATGGATTCATGAACTGTGGCCATTAAGATAAAAATATGTAATCCTTGTACTAAAACTTAACATGAAGGGAAATTTTGCATGCCAATGTTCCTGAAGCATGCGACTTTATTTTTGAGATTTGCACGGCTTTTGTTTTATCTCTACTGATCAGTTTCCAATGCACACCTCAATCAGACTTGCTGTGGTGGAAAAAAAACGAAAAACCCCACACGTGCAGTGCAATTTTCTTGAATTAAAGCAATATATGTCAGATTTCATTTTTAATTACATCGTTTCATTTACAATCTTCCGTTGTTATTTTGTGACTGGAGGGCCTTGGAGCCACCCCACAAGCCACTCTGGTAAGTCTAGTTCGCGGACTATAAAAACCTCGGTCCGAGCGGATGAGCGCGCCACTAGCTTCGGAGGTGTCTCGTAGGTAAGACGTAAGATTAACTGCTGTGTGCGAGGATATCGTTTGTAGTGCTAAGGCATCTCGGTGCAGCAATACAATTGTGCTGTGATCACTGGCTCACAGGTCATGGGCTTAAACTCTAGACAAGTTAAAAGCGAAAAAAAATTTTACACGTTGACTTTGAAGTGGTACATATGCGTACCACAGGTGTATTTCTGCGAACGTATATATAGAGGTCCATATATGGCAAATTTAAATTATTTCGACAGTTTTTTCTGAATAATTTTTTCCGCAATATTTTCGATTTATTAACAAATGTTACACATTATTACCGTAATAATAATAATTATTATATATTATGTAATTATAATAATGATTATATACTAAGTAATTATTATTACTTAGGATCAATGAAAAATCAATAACTTTCATCACTGTGGCAAACAAATAAAAAAATGCCGTTTTCAGCAAAAGGAACACTCAAGAACTGCAGTTGAAACCATGTCACTAAAATTCGAAACATTTTAAACTAGTATTGAAAATATCAGGGTTTGGGAACAAGAGGCTGGAAAATGTTACAATAGACATTAAAGAATTCATACGTAGTTTTATTTGGCAAGAGATACGTTTATCCTTCCTCTGAGGAATTTTGGTAATCTTTAGCAACCACAAATGAAAGTGCGTGAGCTGTCTTCGTGTATGCAGATCGCAAGAAAAAAGCTACCGTTAATTGTGCCTGCGCCAACTGGTCCGAAAATCTTCCGTCGATGAGGGGGATATCCTTGTTGAAGGACTGAAATGAGTTCTGAAACACTACGGTCAATGAATGACTGTTCCACTGGCGACGGTGATGTAGCGTAGATACAAATCTGTTAATAATACCTAATAGCTTCAACTCTCATTTCCACACGCAGATACAGGAAAAGACTGATAGGCTATATCTTTTACAGGCTTTGTAAAAAGTATAACACAGGCTATATTATAAAGCATTGTACATGAATTTGTGCTCAGATTGTAAATAGTGGTCGAAAAAAAAACGAGATATAGATAGAAATATATCCGAGGAATGAATAGAAATTGTGAATAGTAAAAGCTAAAAAATTCAACTTGAGGGTTATTTCGCGAGTAGCATGACAATTATGGGCAAATTTGAAATGAATTCTAACCAAAAATGCCTCATAATTACGAAAATTCAAAATATGCAAGTCGCCGTAGAAAATTTTTTAAAACCAGGTTGAGTGTCAACGTAGGAAAAGAAAGCCAGCGTTGCAGTCTGGTACTGACGAGCTAACACCCTCAGCAGCGGTGGACGCGTACAGCGTAATATTCAGGCCATATTACCACCCACTGCTGTCCTAATAAGTAAGTGGTTAAATTTTTGTAATATGAGAGAATAATTTGACGTAATTGCATAATTAATATATTACTTGTTGTAACCATGAAAGTCCTCTCCCTCGGGCGTGCGCTCATCGAGCCTCCACCTCAAACCCAGCCGAATACATGGCCATGTTTTTGGCCGAAGACCTAATGGCGGGAAGTAATAAAGTACGACTATTTGTTGGTATATATTATTGTCATGTGATGCCCACTGTGACACTTGAGGGAGATCCGGGGGAAAGGCTAATACTTAATTAAGGAGCTACTATAATTTGTTAGTGAGTTTTTTTTTACTTCGTGAAAATGTTTACTGTCGAACATAAGGTAATTTCATCACTACAGCAAAATGAATTGGTCACACTGCTTAAATACTTACACACTTATCGGCACATATCACGATTATTATTATTATATTATTACACGATTCAGCTTTAGGACACGCCTAATTGGGTAAGGATGGCCCATACAAGGGGCAAAAAGTGAATCGGTTTTTGGGCAAAGAAGCACTAAATCTCACCAGCTACTGTTTAGTTTTGAATATACAGTATTTGTTCAAAACATTTGTATAATAATAATCAAGGGAAGAATCGACACTACCGTCCAGACTTTGACGGTGAAACAAGAATAACTATATCTCTCAAAGAACTATATCTCTCAAAGAATAACTATATCTCTCAAAGAACTATATCTCTCAAAGAATAACTATATCTCTCAAAGAATAACTATATCTCTCTCATGGAGAGGCAAAAATGTAATAGGCGTAGACGCTGTAGCCTGCGTGGCAACACACTGCTCAATTTATTCGCCGCCATATCATAACAACTGAGCAAAAGAAATTTTCTTGACACTAATTACGTTATTCCTCAAATTGCAGTCACAGCAGAAGTAAAAATGCTGTGATTAATGTTTATTTTCTTTTTCAGAGTTAAATCTCGATTGAGTGTGTTGAATTCTGCAAATCATAAAATCATTGAAGCAAGTTCTACTAGCAGCTTGAGTAGTGAAATTCCAATCATTAGATTTGTATAGCCTCATTATTTCCAAATAGGCTCTTATTGAATAGTTTTTACAGTTTTAAATGGTCATTGAAGAATGTCCACTCCGTCAAGTAACCACACGAATGTGTGGAAGAATATAGGTTGTTTTGAAATAGCTTCTCACATATAAAGGATTTTCGTCATCAATTGACGTGCCCCCACCTAACACGAAATACTGCCATCTTAATGACCTATTTTTAATAAAAGTAATAATGCTTCATGTAAATTTCTACTTAGAATAAGGCATATTTCACGGTATTTACCCAATTTTGAGCCGTCGTTTCCTCATAAGAACCTAGTGATATTCAAAATTGTCCACATTAATGGAAAAAAGTTTCTAAGCGATTGCAACGAAACTCCATAAAAGAAGGTAATTCACTGCTATTTTTGATGGTAACTGTAAAATGTTATAGCTTTTTATTTGTTCGCTGTACTGGGTTGAAACATGGTAATCTGGTGGTAGACATGGGTCTAGGTAAGATTTATCAGCCAAAGTAGCGACTTAAAAGATAATACGCGAATAGAAGTCACACGAAAGAGAAATGATTTATTCAAAAACAGAGCAACGCACAACACAGCTGCCCCAACATCGACTCAAGTACAAAGAGACAACATATCTTTCTCATCCAGAACCTGCCAGTCGGATGAGGACTGCAGTGAAGCAGGTAGGGTAACATGGGGCAGCGAGCCCACTGCGGGTCATGGGCCCATAGCGGGTTTCTCGCTAAGTATGGCAGATATTGGTCCGTGCTCTCTACCGCCGGTCGACAGCTTCACTGGGATGAAGTGTACGGATTTACGTTTTGCTAAGTGTTTGCGTTATAAAGTTATTTGTGAATAACTGTTTTAGACCAGATAAAAATTTTTTTGCTGCTACATAAAATTTTTTTCGATTACTGTAGATTAAGCTTTTGAAATTACTGTGAATTATATTTTCGAAATAATATTTATAGGGATAATTTTGAGATCAAGTTTAGATTATTAGCTTCTAAAATAAAATGTTGACACGATATAAATTGAAATGATACCTTGTGGGGCAACGGGCCCACGCGTGTCAAGGGGCAAAGCGCTCATGGTGAAGTCTTGTGTTATACATCATTAGATTTGTATCAATGACCTTTTCAAACTATGATTAGCTTTTTGAATTACAAATTACACTTCATATTGCATGATTTTTTGATTTGCCGCCTCAAGGCAGCAGGTTTAGTTTCTAGTTATGCGTATTTATGACCCCCTTATCGAGTTATTGACTCTTGCCTTGCCAAAAGTTGATTTCAGCCAACACCAATGAGCCATGAGCCAAAAGTTGATGAGTTTTTATGGTGTTGGCTGAAATCACGATTAGGTACGAATTCTCTGCACATAATATCTGGATTATGGACGAACCTGGAACGAAGTTTTTTTCTGATCAACTAAATATATTTTTTCTAGTCAAGGATAAATTTTTCAGGTCAAGAATGAATTTTTTATCGCAAGGATATATTTTTCAAGTCACGGATATATATTTTTTTATCAATGAAATATTTTTCTTCACGTCAGTGATAGATTTTTTAAGCCAAGGGTACATCTTTTCATGTTAAGTATATGATTTTTTGAGTTGTTAATAAATGAGTGAATGTCATATTTTTTATTACATTTTCTTATTTTTATCTGTAAGGTGTTGTTTTTTCATTTAAAAAAAAATATGCATTTAAAAAAATATGCATTTTATGCAAAAATATGCATTTATTTTAAAATATGCATTTATGGTAAAGGGACCAAGGGTGGGCGCCTTGCCCCAAGCCCATGGGCCCATTGCCCCAGGAGTGGGGCAATGGGCCCATTTGGACACTTTTTACAAAATAGTGTTTCATTAAAAATTGAATAACTCTATAGGCGTCTAATTCACATCATTATACATTCCTCATTAGTTGTACCTTTAAACAAAACAAAGAACAACCTCGTATCAATTAAAACTTCATCAAAAATTTAGTTAAAAAAAAGTGGGGGGCGCGCTGCCCCATGTTGCCCTACTACATTACAGAAAAAGAAATCTTGGAGAATTCTAACGCAAAATTTTGATTAATAGTTGTTGTGGGTAATCATATTTTTCTTGTACGACTCAACATTTGAGACAAACTGCGTTTACTAAATCCAGGGCCTTAGGGAAGGTTCAATCAACTATATGTAAATACATTCTCTACTACATTGAGCTTCAATCTTAGCAGTTGTTTCTTCAATGCAAAGAATGCCGAACAGATGGCAGTGTGAGTACGTATATAAGCAGTTTGCTCCGATTATACTACATAGATAGAGTTTATGATATATTAGACAGAACAGATATTCCATAATAAAGGTAATTTTAGGTGGTGATTATAGCATATTATACCTTTAATATGTTGCTCAATTAAAACATGATAATTTGGTCAGAGTTATGGAACTTTGTAGAATTGTTCAGTAGATATTACAATAGTTTGTAAAATATAACACAAAGTGAAAGCACAAGCAAAAGACTGAAAGAGACTGGTACAAGTGGAAGCTTGGAAGGTGTGGAATGAGGACATTTAAAAGAATTTGCTAACAATCTGGAAGTTGCAATAAATGTGGCGCTAAACAGCAATAATATATTCGAAAGTTATCTGAGTTCATTGAAAAATGAAGATATAAAAATAACAGGTCTGATCTCTGTCAGTTACCCCTACCACTCGTCCAACTCGTGCTCTCTTTCACCTGTAATCTAGAACTCCACCGCATTTAAGATAAGAGGACTGTGTGTGCACGTGCATGTGTGTGCATAGAAATACAACGGTGTGTTCGTGCATGAACAGCGGAGTCGCATATACACCCACAACGTTCACTCGGAATGTAATTGTTGATATGTTGATGTCCACATTGAAGTGATATGACTGCAGCTGATCGATGTATAAGGCCTGACATTGCATGCTTCTCGGGCTACCGCG